TATTTAGGATGGACACCATCAGGACAGTAAGAAGTTAGGGGAGAAATCTCATCTTTTCCCTTTCCTCCCTACATCCCCACCCAGTTTATTGTGCCTTTTAGTGTTATGGTGAGCACTGTAAAATAAACAGCTGAGGGGATCATTCTATGCCAGTTCTGACCCCATCTGAGGCATTTCAATGCATAGTAAAGCTAGTCAGGAAAACTGTCTTATTTCATATAGAAAATTTCAAATAAAATGATCGTTTTCCCCATTTTTAATGTTTTTTCAGGTTTTCATGGAAAAACTAAATACCAAACAGCTTTTAACACTAAAAAATGTTCAGTTTTAATCAAAAACCTGAAAAAAAATTGATGAAAGCAGAAATTTTCTCAGGAAATTTTTTGTTTTGGTAGGGGGGAAAAAAGTGTGGCAATTTTTTTTCAACGAGCTCTAAAGCTAGGTCTACACTACGGGGGGGAGGGGGGGTCAACCTAAGATACACAACTTCAGCTACATAAATAGCGTAACTGAAATTGCGTATTTTAGGTCGACTTACCTGGCTGTGAGGACGGCGGCCAGTCGACCGCTGCCGCGCCGCCGTCGACTCCGCTTCCGCCTCTTGCCGCGGTGGATTTCCGGAGTCGACAGCAGAGCCATCGGGGATCGATTTTATCGCGTCTTCACTAGACACGATAAGTCAATCCCCAATAGATCGATTGCTATCCGCCGATCCGGCGGGTAGTGAAGACGTGCCCTAAGGCATAGTCAGTAGGCCTTCCTGTGACCCTGGGTGCTTCTAGATCTGGGAATGCTGCTTGTTCTCTCTTCAGCTCTGAAGTTAGAGGTCTTTTCCTGTCCTGAGATATTTAGTCAGCACTTTCCTCCTACATGTGTGCATGCACATAAACACACACACACACACACACACACACACACACACACACACATATATAAAGCCAAATTGAAATTATAGTTGCAGTTAAACCAAATGCTATTTACACAGGTTAAAAAAAAAATCTATATCGCTTCCTTGAGCCTCCAAGGCTAGTTTTACTGGCCAAACTACGACTATCCTAACATATAATCCATAGTTTTATAGTCTTTTCCAGATTATATTGGATTTTAATTAGTCTCATTGTAAGAGGTCAGTAACCTTATTCAATGCTAATTGGGTGCTGAAATGAAAAAAATAGGTACATTAAAAAAATCTCTATAAGTAGCAAAAGGAAAGATTTGATAATGAGATTTACTCCACTGTACATTCAGATTTCCCATTTATTTCAGAATAGTCTGTCTAATTTACCTAACCGCTTCTTAGGATAGCTGTGGAGGGACAGGGGCACACATGTGCCTGTTGGTGGGTGTGACGTGAGTTTTGGAAAGAGAGAGGCTCAGTTATAAATGAAGTTATAAATAAGAAGATTTAGATTTGATGACGCTGATCCTGAAGTATAGATTGGAAGATTCTTCATAAATAGATACTTTGTAAAGCGCTTTGAGATCTAGTGATGGCAAAGCGCTATATAAGAGCTAGTTGTTGTTGGAAGAGGTGGAGCGGGGGCGGGAAGGGGTGGAGTGGGAGGAAAGGCAGGGGGGCCGGGGAAGGAATGGAGTGGGGGCGGGGCCTGACGCAGAACCGGGGAATTGAGCACCCGCTGGCAGATTAGAAAGTTAGTGCCGCTGATAGCTGTGTATCTAGTAGTTTGACATAGAATCATAGACTCGTAGGACTGGAAGGGACGATAATAGGTCTTCTAATCTAGTCCTCTGCTCTCAAGGCAGGATTAAGTATTATCTAGCATAATTATAAAAACATAAACCGGTAATTCCTGCCAAAAGAAAATTGACTCAGAAGACTCTTAGCTCTACTTTCATACTATTCTATTCGGATGCACAATTTGATATGTTCCAGCCAACATTTCCAAAAATACAATAGTTTTCCACACAAAAATGAAAAAAATAGAGGAAAAGCAGCTGCTCCAAATCCCAGTCTCACTAGGATCTCAAAGTCATCAATTAGAAAACAGTAATGACACCAACTCTCTCACACCAATAGAAATTGGTCCAATAAAAATATTACCTCACCCACGTTGTCTCTCTGGTAATGACACTGTAAGTATGGTATGAATATGCTGAGTCCCTAAACAGTCTTCAGAAGAGCACACTGTCCCAGAGTTAAATCCTGATATGACATCTTTGGAGTTAATGGGAGCCTTTGACTTCAGTGGGTGCAGAATTGAGCCCTTAGAGTTTGGCTTCACTGGCAACTCAAAACAATAACAAAACACACCTTTGAAACTACATTTCCTCCCAGAGCACTAGGGTGTTTGTCTACAGTCACTAGGGTGTTTGTCTACCTGTGTTTTAAACCACACCCATTACCTCAGTATCTGGTTTCCCTCTGTTATATCAATTTTGATGGAAGAAATGGGCCCAAAGAGTCAAATGTGTTAACATAACCCTGTCATTGCACAACATTAAACAGTTGTAAACAAGGTTCGGGGTTTGGTATACAGAGATGTCAGCCATCTTAGTTCTATGGTAAACACACATTAAAAATTCTTTAATCTTTTCTTAAAAAGAAGGAAAAAGAGCTAAAGTGTTTGAAAAGTAAAGTATTGAGTAAGTCTTTTAGTTTAACAACGCTCCTTGTTCTCTTTCCCTTTAGCTGGAGAGAGAGTTTTCTCCTCCCCCTAACAGTTTTTAGCTGGTATTAAAGATAGTAATAACTTTTGAGAAAAAGAGTTAGTTGAGATATGCTGGAGCTGCTGTTGTTAAAGTCTGATCCCATTTTGTAGAAGACAGATATACACACACAAGAAAGTAGAGAGAAGAACAGCAAAGGTAGAAAATGCAGCTTCTCCCTCTGGTGTAGATTCTCACTTGCAACCTTACTGCAGAAATATGCAGCCACAGCATGTGCATGGTCTTATCAACCACTGCAAGACATAGCAAACTGGTACCAACATTGGGCTATGTAGGGCATTGCTTTTAGCTGCCTCGTTGGTCACAGTCTTACAGCACTGTTGCAAAGTATACAGCCTTGGCCAGCTAAGCCAGTCTCTTATTAAACAGAAAGGCAAAAAAGAGAGATAGGACAGAGAAGAAATAAGGTGGGGAATGAAAAGGACACACAAATGGGGGGGGGGTGACAGCAGGAATCAAAGTTTCATAGTTCCCAAGTGAGGTTCAGGATTTAATCAAAGCCGGTAGTGGTGGCAGATGTCATCTGGGTCCCTCTCTCTGACCACGTCTGGTCAGGACTTCTTTCAGGACCAGGATGACAAAGGGCCAGCAGTGTCACAGTGGATCCTAGGAGACGGAGGATGTGTCAGCCGCAGTGGTGAAGCTTACTCCTTCTGGTCCACCTGTCTCCCCATCCGAAGTAGTTGATAGCGTGTTTTTCTCCCCCAAGTATTTTCTTTTAAGAACCCCCATAAGAGAGCAATGGGTGAAATAGCCCATCCTTTCATTATATTGTCCAACAATTCTGGGCCATTGATTTCCGGTCCCACGCTTCTCTTGTTTATCGGCATGGTCTTTATACGCCCCTTGAATTATATCAGGTAGGCCTTTTTGTTTGGACTAATTCAGTCTTTCTGACTCCATTTTGCACCTTTTTTCCATCAATATTTATTATTCTAGGTTATTGCGGTATTTTATGACCTTTCACTCACTTCTTACACTTGGGCTCACGATTAAGTTAAAATGGAGGCCCAATTGTTACAATACCTCTGGGACTTCCTCTGTGCTATCTCAGTTTTTTGCTCTGCTCAAAGAGATATGCTAACCCCTTTAATGGAGCCCATTGGACCCTCATGCCTGCATGACTTGACAGCAATACCTCTGAATCTCAATAAAGAGTTTTAGTACCTACGCCTAGGGTGACTCAACAGAACAGGACTGCAGGGTCTTAGACCTTCCACCTTGTTACATATGTATTTAATTTTTATTCAGGTTTGTGAAGGTGCTTACTTCATACACATATGTTATAGTACGTTCCATGATTTTTTTGCACTTGGTTTCCATATTCTTTTTCCTAAAAGAAGGCCAATACTTAGCTACTGCAATCCAATTATGGGGAGAAGTACAAACAGCAATCATAGTAGTCTGAAACTATCAGCACCTTTCCCATATTAAAAAATGTAAAGAATGAAACCATGGGAGCCTATAATTTTCCTTTGGGTGAAGAAATCTTGTCCTCCCCCCAGGAAGGATACACAAGATCTGAAATGCAACAGAACCACCTCTGTACCCCTTGCAAAAAAATGGAGCAGTGCTCCACAGTTGGTCTTTTCCTGACACTGTGCCAGGGAGTTTCTGGGCAGTCCAGCATGGCCACTGAATCAACAAACTGCATGTGGTCACTGGCCAAAATGCCTATATAGGTCATGAAGCATAGCAGGCCACATTAGTGAGGTTATTGTAGACCATTCTGCCCATACAAGCCCCAAAAGTCATGCACAGGCAATTTGTCCATTTGAGCTTTGTGCAGCTGATGATGATTTCCTCATAAATTTAGAGAGTTTATTTTGTATAGTAGTTTTGCTTGCTTTTTCTCTCTTTTGCAAATCAAATTTTGTAGGAAAACAATATCAAGTGATAGGTTGCATTGGAGAGAGGAGAGGAAATGTGGGGACAAGAGACAGCTGGAGTTTGAGAGCCCATTTGTCTCTTTTGACACATTTTATTGACTGATTGATCACCACTTTCACAGAAAGATGCCAAAACTGTCTGGAATAAATACAAGCATATATTCTAGTTGGCTTCTGCAATCTAAGCAAAAAAGAGGTTCTCTAACTTAAGTTTGATGCCAAGGCAAGAATCTGCCCCTATCTAAACACTTCTTCCATGCCAATTGACATCACAATGTGATTATATTGTTTGTTTATCAAGTATCAAATATACTCATTAAAACGTATGGAGAGACCCGTGCTCACCTTTGTAACAGAATGTCTCAGGAATAGTGTCTGATGTGATCTGACTTCTCAAATGTATTCATTCTTCCTGCTTTGCAGGCATACCTGGAAGTGACTATGTCAATGCCAACTACATAGATGGTTACAGAAAGCAGAATGCTTACATAGCAACACAAGGGGCTCTCCCAGAAACCTTTGGAGATTTCTGGAGAATGATGTGGGAACAACGGGGTGCAACTGTGGTCATGATGACAAAACTGGAGGAAAGGTCCAGGGTAAGAAAGAACTTTATTGCTTTTGTAGATTGATTAAAAAAAAAATTAAAACTTGTATCTGCTTTATCATTTACATAAGTTTTTCATTCAAATTTGTCTCTGAGTTTTTGCCCAATCCTCTCCGTATCTGAAATATTTAAGTGATAGCTAATAATAGTGTCTTTATTATTAAATGTGGAGCTACACAGCCATGCCACTTTTTTCTTAGTCTATTTTCTAGTGACTAGGAAACTTGACATCCCATCATCTTTAATGGTTTCTCCAGCCATTTCAACTAAGTCTGAACTAAACTGCAATGATGTTTTGATGCAACTTACTATTTTCTAATAGAACCATTTTCACTTAAAATTATAATTGAATTTTGTTATTACTGTTAGTAATGGGGCCAAAATATGTTAGGCTTTGTTCAAACACATAGGAAGACATCATCTTTTTGTAATATTGAGCTGCTGAATATTTTGTGTTCCCACACAAAATGAGCAAATATCAGCTAACATGTTATTTGGCAAATTTTTATTCTGATTAAAACAACCTGCAAGCTGTATTAATGATTCCCAGATAGAACAATGTCAATTTGGCATGTGATAACTAGAAGTCTACTTTTCTACCAACAACCAAATAGGGATCAGTGCCTGAATTGATAAAAATAAAAATGAATTCAAACTTTTGCCCTGTCAGAAAGTTGGCCCTAACTTAATGAGAAATGAACCATTTCTTGAACTTCGAATTATTTGTTAAAATAGTATACATCTTTGCACTTCTGTATTTTCTTGTTTGTTTTTTAACATTGTGAAACAGCATATTTGTACCTGACTTCTAGCCCAGTTTGTGCAGGTTTGGATAAGATTCAGATAAGAATCCAAACTTTGGCTGCTTATCTGAACAAAACATCTCAACTTCATGAGACTTATCCATCATTAGAAACAAGAATAGGGGATTGGAAGTGTCACTTCCTGCACTAGAACAAAAATATGGCTGAATCATCTTTTCATAAGGAAGTTAAGATATTTCACCATCACTCAACTTTTGGACATATTCTGTTGACTTCATTTTAGTTAAAATCAATGAGTACTCAGCTGTGGATAAAAATATAAGAAGAGTGTTATATTTGCACATAGGGCTGCTAAAAGAAAAAATGTTTCTTACTAATACATGCCAAAAACAGAAGACAAAATTATCTATGGTGTTTCAACTATGAGGCCTTCACCAGGAATAATCTGTAAAGGTCAAAGTAAAATTAGGGAAGCTGGAGATGGAATGCAGGGTATGTATGTGATCAGAAAGGAAATAATGGAGTGGGTGGGTATCAGAAAAAAATAGCATGACTGTAATGTTAAATTAAAAATAAGGATTTTTTAATCATTGTGAAAAGAATGGAGGTGGTCCACCAAGGTCGAAATAAGCCACTGGGGTCGAAAAGTATCTAGAGTCAAGAAAAGTTCCAACTGGGGCAAAAAAGGGAGAGAGGGGAAAATATGCTGTCATACAAAAGTCTTTAAATCAGTAAAAAGTAGACTGTGCATCTGACCAGATCATAGTTTATATATAAGCAGTTTATGTGTAAGCTCCATTTTTTAAATTAGAACATTTTTAGTTTATTGAGATGGTAGCAAAACAAAATCCACTGTAATACTTCATTCCTTTCTGTAATGACATTAACTTCTCTTCCCATGTTGGATGTATACAGGGCTGTGCTGCTTATGTAACTTGAACTTCGTGACTGCACTACTTTTGGTTTGGAGACTTATTGGTGTACAGATTTGGCCTCTTCCCATTTCAGAACCTATTAGAAATAAAGGAATAGTGTCCAGTTCAGGCAAGATATAGCAGTTAAATTATAGACTCAGTGCCTGCATGTAAATTCAACTTCCATTAACATCACTGCCCACACATACCTGTTGATAATGAGTCCATTGCCGAAAATATTTTTCTCAGAATGCTTTATTTTATCTTGATGCCCCAGGCCTTACTTAGCCCAGGAACCGAAAGTTATTTTGACTTAGGCAAATGAAATTCTGCCCATTTCCTCACTAGTTGCTTCTAATAATAAAGTTACTTCTAAATGGCATCAGTGCTACTCTAAAGTCTGATGATAATGAACAGTCCTTTGCAGAAGGTCTTTTTACTTAAATACTTCCCATGTATCTTAACACTACAGGTCATTGCTCCATGTACAGAAACTTGTTTTGAAATAACCAAATAAAATTCTGCTCATTCTCTTTACTAATTGCTTATTGCAGTTTCAAGCTAACTCTGCTCTCTGCTGACTGTACCCTGAAAAGAGCTGATCAGAATAATAATCACCTTTACATATGATTTGCATTCAGTGGCAACACATTCCTTGAGTGTAATGACAGTCCAGACAGTCCTAGTCAGTTGACTGTCTGGGTGTTTCTTTCATTTATGATTTAGCTCATTCTTAGTTCATAAGTGAAATGAGTTTCATGCAGTCAGCCCGGTCAATAATAGTCCATGTAACATGTAATCTCAATACATAATTTAGCAGAATGGGCAATTTCATTTAAGGTGGAGCTTGCAAATGTGAAAATATGACACTTAGGTTACCTCTTCCCCTCCTAAGATAGCATCTTCAGATAATGTCATTAATGGTATTACTAGTGGGGTAGAAGTGTGAATCCCTAGTCTAGGAAAGAATATGATTAGAAGATTACATGTTTTTTTCTACACCATCATTTCTTTATACAGCACAAGACCAAATGAAATTTCAAAAATGAGATATAAACACTATTAAACGCTAATGAAGATTAGGACATCCTTTAGTTTTGTTTTTCTTGTTCTTTGTTCCCTTTTCTGTCCGCTTTCGTGTCTTGACATCCCTGATCATTATCTCTTCTGCAAAGGAAGATCGTTCCTCTCTGGGACTTCATCTCCTTTTCTATCTTCATGTCTTCGTTTTGTTTACCTTGCTTTTTTCATTGTTCAGTGCTGGAGCTTGGCATCAGGCTTTTTAACCTGTGCTGCATGGATAAAGGGTTTTTTTTAAATGGCATCTGCAGAAGCAAACTAAGTTGGTTCATTAACATGTGTTAGATGTCTGACTAACCTCAGCTTTGAGAACTTACATATTTAACAGCTGAGAATGTCAAATGAAGATGTTACAGTGAATTAGTTATTCATTTGTTTGGCTATTGGGAAGCTGCAGAATAAAGAAAGCTCTTTCATATATAACCCTTCACACATTGTTTTTGTTTTAAATGTCATCTCTGCAATCTCACCTGACCTAATCCAGACCTCAGAGAGGAAATCAGTCCCATTACTCTGCTATCACATACGTAATTTATATGAAAAAGGATTATACACACTGCAATGCATGGAAAAATGTTGATAACATATTTATTACATGCATGAGTTTAATCTGAATGAAATAAAAGGAAACCATTAAGGGGTGAAAACTAGAGATTAGGAAAAGCAGTTAACTGTTACAGTACAGGAACACATAAGACAATTTAAAGCATTAATATTATGGTGTGAGAGTTTCTGGATTGATTCCCGCCCCCTCCAAAATTTACATTTTTAGTGCCAGATCCTTTTGGTTTGTTGCATTCTCAGAGGACCTCCATGCCGTAGCAAGTGGTCCCAAATTGTTTCCATGCTACAATCAACATATGCATTTATCTGAGGAGCCAGGTGGGGACAGGGAACCTCAGCGTGGAACAAACAGAAATGTTGTTACATCGAGGCAACGTTTGTATTATCCACTAGGTCACCATATATTCCCCTCAAAGATATTATTTGGGGTAGGACATTGTAGCAGGTAACTCCGTTGCAAGAGATCTTAAACCTCCCATTCCTTATTCTAATTCCTTGGCATAGACTCTCTCCAGAATGTTCTGGGATAGACACAGTGTTCATTTTTACTTCCTCCTCATTGCTATCACTGACAATATTTTCCTCGCTGGGGCATCACTAACATGGTGTTCATAGCCAGAATCTTCTATCACAACCCCCCTTCCCCCCCGCCAAATTAGAACCAAATACAATATAAGGCTTGCAGCAACTGCTTCAGCAATATGAACCTGAATTTAAACTTCTGGATTGATGAGGAACTACTTATTACTTACACCGATGCTTCATACATTTCCTCACAGCTAATGACCAGCTGGAATAGTCAAGTGCCCGTCACTTTGCTGCAGGCCCTTAAGTTGAACTTGCCAGTCATTAACTACCAGGAAATGGAGACCGTTGCAAGCTATGAATATATACAAATGCGAACAAAAAATAATTAATTGGCTATGTGGCAGTTGAACTACATGTTGCCATAGACACAGTGAGCTGTATGCAGAAATAGTCTTTTCCTACGTGTCAAAGACCAGTAGGAAAGCAGGATCATCTTTCCATTAATTTAATAATGAAACAATGAGACCCTCTGTACCAGTCCTATATTAGTGCAATAAGAACAACTGGGAATAATTAAGGGCCATAGGCTTTGCTTCTATTTGGAGTATTTATCATGGTTAAAGAGAATTAAGTGCCTTTTTGTGTGTGTTTGCCATCTTTAGAGGATAACTACATATAGTTTCAGCAGTGCAATAGCTACACACTGGGTTCATGCAGCCCAGAATCCCCCTTGGCACTCGGTGTTATGCTACTCCACCTTGGTATGTGCCATCCTCTTCATTGTGTTCTGAGTCCAACCATTACCAACCTGCTCCTCCATAGCCACTTGTGGAGAAGCCAAGAGGTGTTCCGCTCTACTTGGAGAAGCTTGATAATATACGTTCACTGTAACAGCTAGGCTGTTTTTGTTTGGTGAGTGTTGTGTGTGTTTTTTGAGAGTTCAGGACTATATGTCACCCAGTCAGAACACTGAGTTTGAAGTCCCAATGTTTTGAGAGGTTTATAATCCATCACACATGTAAAAAAAATGGAGGTACTGCAATGTATACACAGCATATGCCCACACACTAGAAAAGTAAAAGGGACCAGGACATCCATTTACTTGAGGTTTGGAATTATAATTTTGATTTTATTTTTTGATA